ATAAATGGGAGAGGGTCTCTCCACTACCCCTACATAAGAAGCACATATGAGGAGAGAGGCAAGAGGAAGGCCTCCTTTGCATGCCCATCACCTCCTCTGCTGCATATCACATGTATTTCCTTCATCTTCTTCATTTTCTTTTTTTTTTATCAGTAAATATGTGTTTTATTAAAATTCAGATTGTAATCATTTTATACAATTTGATGATGGGATTGTTGATCCCTTTTCCTCACTCTATTCATCCCTCATTATAGTGTAGCCCAAAATAATTGTTGTCTCAATGCCCCTTGTTTTGCTAATCCATCAGCTAGCCCATTTGCACTTCTTCGGACCCATTTAAATTCAGCCTCGACCTCCTTGGCAATCTTCGCCACTTCCCTAATCACATGTTTAAACGTCCATGGGGTGTGGCTGCTATTTGTTGCCCATGAAATTACTACTTTTGAATCCCCTTCCACTTCAACATGTCTGCATTCTAGTTGTTTGGCTAGCTTTAACCCTTGTAGTAATGCCAATAGTTCAGCCTTCAGCGAGTTTCCATTGCCAATCGGCCCTGAGAACATACCCAATATCCTCCTGTCATGGTTTCTTAATACTCCTATTCCTGAGATGCCTAGATTTCCATATGAGCACCCGTCAAAGTTCAGCTTTACTTTATTGCCTTCAGGTGGTTTCCACTCCGGCCTTACTTTATCTCTTACTCTCGAAGATTGTGCTACTTTGGACCATGTTCTTAGAATATCTGTGGCTGAGAAGACTTGAAAGCATTCCAAGAGTTTTACCCAATGGGCTACTTTCACCTTGATATTATCAATCACTTCCTCTACTGTTCTACTTTTTTCCAAGAAAATTCTGTTGTTTCTCTCTTTCCATATTACCCAACAAGTTGCTGCCTTTGTTGCTTTCCACATTACCATCCCTCTTTTCTTTCTCTGTCTCAAGAAATCATGGTTGAAAAGTCTTGCCACATCTTGAGGGGGAGCCCACCTGCAGCCAAAAAGAGTACAAAAGAAATCCCAAATTCGGTGCACAAAAGAACAGGATATCATTAAATGAGAAAGGGTCTCACCATTTTCCTTACACAGTGAACACACATGAGGAGAAAGGCACATGTATGGTCTTCTTTTCTGCAGCATATCACAAGTGTTTACCTTACCAAGGAATACTTCTTCTTTGAAGAAGATGTATGGCCTTCATCTTCTTCATTTTCTTGTTTGTCTCTTATATTCTCTCTTTCCCATAGATCTTTAAAAAGGTAGTAAATTATTGATTGAAGAAAAGAAGTTTTTACTCTCTTTTTCTGCTAGATTTTCTATAAAATATTTTTTGAGGACTAAAGTTGTTCCATTGGAGAAAGGCTATGCTGCTTTGGAAAACCTATACTAAAAAACAAAGAACAAGTTGGAAAAGGGTTAGGTCATGCAAATGCCTTTGGTTGGGAGGCAATCCTCATCGATAAAGATTTCCTAGGCTTTATTCTGTGTTAACCCAGAAGAGGTTCATGTCTTCATGATTATTGCCCAATTCTCTCTCTTTATTTTATTAGTGATGTGTCAAGCAACTCATTCTCTTATTCTCTGGAATAGGTGCCCATTTGAAAGGGTTTTCATGCAGTGGCTTCTGGTGTTGCAAGGTGGACCCTACATGGAAAGTCTATAAGCTATCTTTGGTGAAAACATGGAAAGCCAAAATATGCTTTAATAAAGCTAATAAATCAACTTTCCAATGAAGCTGGTTTTAGTAGCTTCATCCAAGAGACTCAATCAACACAGCTCAATCATAGCTGAAGCACTGGGCTCTTGGACTTTCTTGGAACATGAGAGACCATGAAAGAGATTGCATTGATCCTTTCTTAACCTTCTAAAACATATATTAATTTGGAGGATGGTATAGTCATCTGTTGGTGCTTGATCTGAAAAGATGTTTTTTTTTTTTAATGAATGAAGATAATTTATTAATCCTGAAAATTAAGGCAATACAGGAAACCCATGAAGAGGCACRAGGTGTTACCTCTTCTAACAGAGTATTACACCAAGTTAAAAACAGGAATAAACAGAAATAAAATTACAGAGCTGCCCAAAATAAATGTTCCCTTGAAGCCATTGCTTAGCTAACCCCTCCGCTAAGGTATTTGCTGATCTTCCCACCCAAAGAGAGGTAACAGTCATTTATCAAAAAAAAAGGGAGGTAATAGTCATGTTTCTTGTGAGCTAGTTGACTTTCCTCAATAAGTCTCTGTGTCGCCACATAGCTGAAGCTGGACCTGTCAGCCATCCCACAACAATTTTGGAGTCTTCTTCAACTACCAAATGCTGAACTCCTAATTGTTCTGCAATCTGAATACCTTGTACAACTGCTAAAATCTCAGCTCTATTGGAGTCTCCTATTCCCATGGGGCCTGAGAACATGGCTAAGATGTTGCTCTCCTTATCTCTTAGCACCCCTCCTATCCCCGATGAGCCTAGGTTTCCTTGGCTTCCATCAAAGTTCAGCTTTGCCCATCCTTCAGGCGGAGGCATCCACACTGCAGATTCCCTGTCCTTTCTCGTATGGCTATTAGCCACCACTATCCAGTTTCTCCAAATATCATCAAAGGAAAATGTATGAAAGAAGTCCATAGTTCTTAACCAATGAATGGCCCTAGTCAAGATACAATCCTCAACAGCCTGAATGCTTCTTTCCTTTTCCTTGAATACCCTTGCATTCCTTTTTTCCCAGATTGTCCACAAGGCGGCTGCTCTAATACATCTCCACATCATTTTTCCTTTTTTTGTAGGCCACACAAAAAAAGAAGGATAGAACAACTGACTTAAGTCTGTGGACAGATTCCACTTGCACCCAAACAAAGAAAAATCCAACTCCAAATAGCACTAGAAAAAGGAACAAGATACAAGTAAGTGGGAGCAATCCTCACCACTAGCCCTACAAAGTACACACCAGTTAGGGGACAGACATATGAAAAGCCTTTTCTTCTGCAAGCAGTCCAAGGTATTAATCTTTCTATAAAACACCTCCTAGCAGAAAATAATAATTTTAGGTGGAACAGGTCTAGACCATATCTCCTTGGTCGGAAAACCCAACTGTCCCAGGGAAGAGCAAAAGGACTTAAAAATGGAAGCACAAGTGAAGTAACCTTTTGGATGAGGGGACCATAATCTCACATCCAAACTAAGAGGGTCATCTGAAAGTTGTTGTTAATGGTATTGATTTGACTATAGTATGATTAAGAAATCAAGGATATGCTACTAATGAGTATTGACTGTAGATAGATAGATAGATAGATTGGTACACAAGTTGACGACACACAGACAACCTCTAGACCTTAAATGCATGGACACTCTCATTTATCCTAACCTAAAATAAAACAAAATTGTTAATGATTAACCAGTGTTTTAAAAGGCTGGGAGGCATAGCCACCCCCAAAATGCCCTGAGGCGTGTATGCCAGAGGCATTGATACCTTTGAGAGGTATGCTTCATACACCTTTTTCATGAGGCGTGCACACGCCTCATGTGCCTCACACACACCTCATACAAAAGACAGAAAAAAGGAAAAAAAAGAAAGAAAAAAGAAAAGAAAGGGAAGGGAAAACAAAATAAAAAAAAAAGAGAAAAGAAAGAAAAGGGAAGGGAAGGAAAGATTTTATTAAAAACAAAGAAAAATGAAATTTCCTCTTCTTTGTCCTCCCCCTCCTCTTAAGGAGAGGCTTATGCCTCGTGTTTGGGAGGCTTACACCTCTTACATTTTGAACTATGCCTCATTCCTCTAGGTAGTGGAACGCCTTGCATCACGTTTCTGTGTTTTAAAACATTGTGATTAACATTATATTTAATCTTTGGAAGCTGAAAAAGAAAGCTGTGAAAAAGCAATATGTTTAATTAACCGGTGCCTTTTGAATTACTGTATGAGATTGCATAATTTCATAAGGAAAAAGGTTTCACAATCGACTCAAAATTAGGCTTATTCTCTAGATGACTTGTCTATCATGAAGAGATACATTATGTTGACAGTCTATTGGCTAAAGAACCATCTTCACTGGTCAAGAAATCTAGTAATATGGGATATCGATTGGTATCCTTATTGAATAATATGATATATTGATTCTTATCCATGGTGTTTACTTGGTTAATATGGCTATTGGTTTATTATATCAGCTCCCAAATTAAGAAAAAAATCTAATACAAATTATCAGTGACCCAAGCTGACCAGTTTTAATGAGTTATGCTGCAGATGGCTATTTGTTCTGAATGCTATGTTTGAAAATCCTTTACCTTAAGATGGATAATACATCAGGTCTCATAGCCAATCCCATAACATTTAACAAACATGGTTGGGTGTACCATTTTAAAATTTAAATAGTGACAATAAGGTGACCATTTAAAACAAGGGCTACAACCACACACAAATGATGTTGCAATATACATTATCTACTTTTAGATATTGCCTTGGAGCCTAGCTGTTATGTGTAGTTTTCTGCCATTTAATTGGTATAAATAGAAAAAAGTAAATAATAAATCAGTTGCACTTTTTCTTGATTAGGAGATAATAATGAATACTTAAACTTACTTGCCTTAGGTTCCTCATCATATATCTAGTTTATGGTAATTAAATAAAGTTACACATTAATGCCTTTTTTATAATTTTTCAAATGTCATATAAAAATTCTAGATATTTCCTGATGTTTTCAATGTTTCCAATAATTTTTACAATGCTTCAAATCAAATTTCCATTTAGTTGTAGTTAACCTAAACTAAAATCTCTGAACTTCACATCGAGTTCCCTCAAATCGTCTACGAAACTTGTGCAGTTGTAGATTGTATTTCCATCATTCCATGTTGTATTCTCCTCTCTTAATAACTTCTTTGTTATCAGGTGCTTTCTGATTCTTCAACTTGGTCTTTTTTTGGCAGTTAGTTTTATGTTTCATATATGCAGTGTTAGAAGTTACTCTCACTCTTTAAAACTTGTTCAATAAAAGGTTTTCATTATCTCTCAAACAGATACTGAAGGAAATTGATCAGGATTTGTCTGGATTCAAGTGTGGCCTCGCACATTTTTTCTGTAAGTGATTAAACCTCATTATATCATTAACCTGTCCATCCTGGGGACCTATTTTATTAAATCAAAAACTTTTTTTTTTTGCTTCCAGTGCAACATACAAGTGCCTCCCTCACGCTAAATGAGAACTACGATTCAGATGTTCGAGATGACACTGAGACATTCCTCAACAGGATAGTTCCAGAGGTTGCTATTTTTCTTTTTTATTTTGTACATTTGTGTTAACTTTGATTGCAAAAGGTTTAATTTGGTGTTTGGATATGCGACTTTCAGGGGCGGTCAGCACCTTGGAAACATACTTTAGAAGGTTAGTATAGGAAGTCTGTGGCTTGAATTCTCTTTTCTCCACAGTTTCTGGTTAAAAACTTAAAATTGCTCCATGGGTTGTGTTTGTTTTAATATATTGGCATGTGTAGCACATAGAGTTTTTCCCCCTTAACTAAGAGATTGGTGTCACAATACCAAGGTTTTGCAGTTCATTATTTTTGAAGTTTTGATATTTCATTTTGTTCGATTCTGGACTGCCACCAATATGTAATATAGGTGGAATTTAGTATTTGCCAAATTCTATTTGGAATGAGAAAGATTAGGTTGATGGATGCAGGCCTGGAAGATTAATAAAATGAGTTATATAGGATAAAAGCGATACACATTTTGGATGAAATAAAAGTGTTTTTCAATTGATTAAAGAGTAATGATATTAACATATAATTAAATTTATTCTGACATCTAACAATGAAAGCAGGAACAATGAACATGACAAGGAAGTTTTTGTTTGCCCTAAAACATCTTGCTTGCCAGTTAAAATCTACCTTTCAGGTTGATTCTGAGATTCACCATTGTTTATTTTGGCAGGCCCTGATGACATGCCAGCACACATTAAATCCTCAATGTTTGGGTGCACCCTCACGTGTGGATCTCCTCAAACTTCATAAATTACTCAATCTAAGGCACCTCGTTTGTGAGTTTTTTGTTCCTCAATTACTGATTTAATGCTAACTTGGTGTTTACCTTTACAGGGTTCCGATAACCGATGGGCGGCTCAACATGGGAACTTGGCAGGTAACTAGTAATGAGGTTAATGGAGGAACATCTATAACTATGTGTTTTATTTTCAGTGAAGAAAATTATACTTCTGTGTTTCTAAGAGGCCAAGGGTTGTTGCCTAATTCTGCCATGAAGGGTTAGTACTTGGTAGATGTTTTCATGCATCTAGGAAGACATTTTGGTTTATACATAGCATGATTAAATATCAATCTCCAGTTACCTAACAATGCAATGATAGACCAGGAACGTATTAATAAATCCTTTTTTATCAATAAACAGAAACTTTTATTAAACTTTAGATAAGATTTTACAAGCATCCCTTAGAGAGGCACGGGATGCTACCTCTCTATAAAAAGCAAATAAAAATTACAACTGAGCCCAAAACAAATTATCACTATTCACCCCTTGCCTAGCCAATGCATCTGCCATCCCATATTAATAAATCTTTTGCCACGCGTTTGTAGCTCACGTTGACATGTATCTTATAAAGGGCCATTGCCCATTAATATTCCTATCTGAGGTCTTGAGAGAGCTAGGTGGGATACGGGCCTAACCACTAGCATCAGTAGATTGCCCCTTTAGGAGGAGGTGTTGTTCACTGATGATAGTTTGAATGATGTTTCTAGGATAAATCATTTCAGCTCAATTGTCCATAAGGAGGAGGATTAAATATTATATCTTCCACAGGGTTGGAGCTGGTTTGTGCTTCAGGAATCAGGAGTGCAATCAATTGGCTAATGCCATTTATCATTAAAATTGAAGCTTAAGTTTTATACAGAAGCTATAAGAAAAATCATGTAATCATGCATAATGTAGCCAACTGTTCAATAATTTTAAATTGGAAGTCACTGTTTTTGGAGCAAGCTAAGGGGTTTCGTGAATTTGCAACCTGGCTAATTGACTGGGATAGTAATTTTGATTCCGATGTGGAAGCAAGGAAAGAATTCATGGGGAAACAAACCAATTTTTCAATTCATATGTCAATTCCTGGGTTACAGGATATATTGATGTTGTCCGAGTCTCTCTCTAGATATAGGTGTTTTAAGAAGAGAGTATTGAATTTTCCAGAAGTTAGTTCAAAATTACTATTTAGGTAACTTTCATACATACTATTTATAGTAATTCTTGTAATTACTATTAAACTCATGACTTGCTATTTTTAGTAATGCCTGGTGTCTTTACATTAAGTTACTTTTAGTAGAAGTTAAGTCTTGTTAGAGTTCTTTAGGAGTTAGACTGTTAAGAGTCCTTGTATACATATATACATAGTGTGTGTGTGTGTGTGTGTGTAGTTTCTTGTTCTTTCATGGACAGAAAACTGTCTACTTGCTTTTCTGTCCACATTTTTCATCTTTAATCACCTAAAGCCCCTCCTTTCACCCCGTAAGCCCACCACCAGAACTGAAATTTGTAGGACCCCTACCTGTCCTACATCAAATTTGGTGCAATTTTCATGTTCCAAGGGACAAGAGTAAGTGCTTATCCACTTGATGTCAATAAGGCATCCCTTTTATTGAGAAGGCATGGGTTCAAACTGCGAATAGGCAGTCTCTCTATTGTTGTGTGCTAATGGGCCCTGTGTGCACCCTATCACTAGCCCACTAACACACTGATTAGGTCTATCATTTAGCATCTTACCCCCATGGGGGCTAAAGGGCCTAAAGCTGCATCACCAACACAAAAAAAAAAAGCAACTAGGACAAGGCCAAAAAGTACCTAAGTTTATTTGGTGGAGAGAAATATTTTGATTCATTCTGTAAATGTCCTAGGGAGTGAAATGGAGGAATAGGATTTTTGCAACTGATCCCACATAGGTTATGATGATGATCCATGGTCTGTTCTTAACCAATCCAACATGGTTTGTTCCACATAATATAAAATCTTGGGCTGTCAAGCATGAGAACGCAGGTTTGAGTCTGAGAGCGGCTACTTTGACCTCCCAAAATTCCAGGTAGCTGGGACCAACATTGGGTAGTGGGTTTTTTATTTGTTCTACATACTGTTCTATATATTTTTAAGCTTTAATGCTATTTGAGTATATGTAGAAGTATCCATATTGTATTCAGTGTCATATCAGGTTCATATAATTTCTGATACTGGTCTGCTGGTCATGTAGAGGTATCATAGATTATAGTTATTTGCTGATCCGTAGAATATCCCACCCGTCTCATTACGGATTGGTCGGCTCTACTGAATTCATTCGTATCCTTCAGAGTTAATACTTAGTAGTAGTAAAGTTTTTCTTTCTTTTTTTTTTTTTGATCAATGAGTAGAGTTTTTCTAAACTTAGTAAGCTTATTGTCTTCAATACTTGTTTATTTTACTATTTCTAGTACTTTCTGGAATTATTATTTCCATTATTACAAGACTTGGATCCTTCATCAAACCGGAAGGGCCACCAGGTCATGGGTCAAGCAGTTCAACAAGAAGGATTGGCATTTTATTATTTTGCTTAGGGTGCTTTCACTTTCATATTGAACTGGGAAAGTGAAATCTGGTTCTACATAAAACGAGGAGAAAAAGGAAATAATTTGAAGGTTAACACTCTTTTCCCTTATTTTCAGGGAATTTGGTTGTGTGAGCATCGGGACCATGCTACTCCACGCAAAGTTGTGGTTACTCTTAATGGAGTATAAGGTAAAAGTCTTTTCTGACGACAAATAAGAAGCTGCTGTGCTGTGGTTATTATTGTTTATTCTGCATCCGATTAATTCATCCTTTATTTCAACTGTTATTTATTTTTGATATGAAAAGGTATGATCATGATCTGAAACACCAATTTTCAGACAGATATGATGGTGTGCTGGTATCAAGGCCAACTTTAGTGGGAACTGGTCTGACATCTACAGAGATGACGCAGTTAATATCATTAAGATGCGTTATTTAGCGCTACAGTTTTTGGGGTCCAAATCTTATTAAACTACTCCTAAAAGGCTAAAATAATTAATGCCACATATTAATTATCATTCTGACAGGTATTTGGCAAATAACTAAGTTAAATTATTGTATGTTTGATCGTTTGGTCTTTAACATAGCTACACAGTCCCTGGATGGTTTCATTTAGAATTTCAACTCTAAAACTTGGCTTGTTTAGATGGATAGATAGTAATCAGGCTTGCTCCAAGTTGGCATTGAGAAAGTTAAACTCGAAACCAGAGAGAGAGAGAGGTTTATGAACATGTTCCAGGCTAGTAACGTTGGTTTTTTGGGTTAGGTCAGTCAATCTCGAATGGTAGTATTGAACTTTTTGGTGGAAAGTTTGAGACCCCTATCAAGTTGTTTCGGCCATGGTTCAAAGTATCGACACATATTGGCCCATATCGGCTGATACATATCTATCCGGGACCCCTCTGATATGCCTCTACAGTGGGTGTATTGGGGGTTTGACTGGTTCAGTGTGGAGGCCGCTTAAACCGGCTCCCCTGAACCAGTTGTAAAAAAAAATACCAAAAAGCTGTATCGATTTGCCTGATATGCCCATACTGGTGTATCGATATTTTGAACCTTTTTCATCCTGACATTGAACACCCAAACAAACAAGTTTTAACGTGTTATATAGACTGTTGGGATGCAGGCATGCCGCAATGATCTTCAGTCTCCGAAGTCCAAAAGTCCAAACGCACAACATTTGGAAACTGGGTATTTCTAATTTGGTAAATTTTCTATGCTTCGGGCCATGGCTGCGCCTTTTTCTACATAGGTTTACATAGCAAAAGTACCGAAATGAGATTTGGCAATTGAGAAGGTTTCCTTGGCTTTTATAGCAATGCAAATAACGAGATTGGAATGGACCAGGCTACCCCCCCCCCTCAAATTATTCAGGTCTACTCCCCATGGAAGATCATCGATCCTCGTAACAAATATGTGAAATAAGGAATTTGCCACATAATTCTTAAAAGAATAGAAATTCAATTCAACCAGGCTAAATTTTACCTTAACCTCTACTTTGCACTGTTTAGCCCCCCCCCCACCCATATGTGATATGTTGAAGGTTGCATTTAAAAACGCTTTTCAGACTATGAAGTTTGAAAACTTGCCTTTCAGATGTTAGTGGCATTCGGGTTTAGGTCTGATTAGAGGATTTGAAACAAAAATTCAAATCTAATGTGATAAAATGGCATTAATGCCCTCATTATTGTCATCTATTTTACAATAATAATAATAATAATAAATCAACATTGTTATAGATATTTATTATTACTTAATAAATATTAATTTTCTACTTAAATAAATAATAATAATATTTAATAATAATACTAATAATAACTATATTATTACTAAATATCTTGTATTATAAAATTATAAATAATTATCATTTTAATTTAAATAAATACTTATATAATAATAAGAATATTTCATAATATATTTATTAGTAACAATTAAAATATTTATGTTTATTATTAGTTAATAATAATAAATAAATATTATTTTTAATAATATAATAAATAATTATTTATTTCAAAAAAATAGAATATTTGTTTATTATTAGTTAATAATAGTAAACTTCACAATTTCAGATGTTGGAGAATTGCTCCAACTCAAATGATCTTAGCTTTTCAAAATCTCTAAAATGTAGAAAATCATTTCTACTTTTCAGATTCTAGACCCGAATAATATCTTTTGAAATTTTCTGGTTTCATATTTATCAAATGCCACTTAAGTCTTTTAGATAGTAATGTCACTAAATATAAAACATTGGGTGTGGTGATTCCATGATTTGTCTATGCATGTCTATTATAATTCAAAGAGTGCCCCTTAATACATGCGTCAAAGACTTTTGAATTACTTTGCCAAATAAAAAGAAAGAACAAAAAAAATGAGTATATCCAACATAAAACCAAAACAATAGATCGGGGATCTTCGTCGGATGGGATATTTGTCGCAAAGTGAAAATTTAGGGGGATATTTGATGTAAATGAAAATTTAGGGGGCAATTGTCACTGATCCCAAAGTATAGGGGATCATGGGAAGATATTTTTTGAAGAGGGATATTTCTTGAAGTTAACTATGGAGCATTAATGGAGGGGGATATTTGTTGTAAAGTGGAAGTTTGGGGGTCTTTATTGCAAATGAAAGTTTAAAGGGTAATTGTCAATGATCCCATAGTAGAGTGATTTTTGGCTATGATGATCCTTAAACTTTGCAAAAAGGCCACTTTTGATCCTAAAATTTTGAAAAGGACATTTTGGTCCTCAAACTATGTTGAAAAAGGCCATTTTATGGCAAAAATTAATGACATTATAGACGTTCTGAACAATTTCATGAGGTAAATAATAAAATATTAAGCCTCACTACCGTGACATTGTTTAAGTCCAAAAAAAAAATTATTTGAAAAAAATGATATGTGGGTCTTACATAAAATTCATACCTATTCACATGTGATCAAGAATAAAAACAAAAATAATTATTTTTATTTAAGAATTAATTATTAATAAAATAATGAATTATAAATTAAATAAAAGAAAATAATTTGGCTCTTTCAACTTAAGTAATTTTAAGGGGAAAAATTACATGTGGGTCTCACTTAAAATTCCCACCTATTCACATCTAACTAAGAATGAAAACATAATAATTATTTTTATTTAATAATTAATTCATAAATAAAATTAATAAAATAATGAATTATTGATAACACAAAAATATGTAGTATTATTTATATTTTATTATTAATAATTTGTTATTTTATTAATAATTACTATTACTATTACTATTTATATTTATCATTAATAATTTATTATTAAATAAGAATAATTATTTTTGTTTTTATTTTTGGTCACATATGAATAGACTGGAAATTTATGTGGGACCCATGTGTAATTTTTCAAATAATTTTTTCTACTTGAACAATGTCACATCAACAAACCTTATTATTTTATTATTTTTCTAACAAAATTGTTAATAGTGTCTTTAACGTCGTCAATTTTTGCCATAAAATGGTCTTTTCACCATAGTTTGAGGGAGAAAATGGCCTTTTTGAAAACTTAGGTTAAAAAATAGTTTTTTCACAAAGTTCAAGGGTTGTTAGAGCCAAAAGTCCTAGTAGAGGGGTTTTTGTTGCAAATGAAAGTTTATGGGGTAATTGTCATTGGCCCCATAGTATGGGGTAATTTACCCAAAACTGCCAAGCGCTAGGATCCTATCCCGTCTACCTCCAAGAGACCAAGACCCTTTGAGCTGAGATCACATCTTCACCCCACAGAGGGTGCCCCACAAATGCCTTGCATGCACATCTCATCGTGCATTGGGAACATCTCCCGAAGTGGGGCACCCTTTGTGGGGCACAGATGTGAATTCCTAGTAAAATCACCGATCTTGTTTCAAGAAAAAAAGGGTAAATTATAGACTTATACCCTCTACTTTGGAGGTAGTTCACTTAGCCTCCCCCAAATTTTCATTTGTGACAAACACCACAAACTTTCAAATTCTTAGCCCCCCAAACTTTCATTTGTGACAAACACCACGAACCCTTCAAATTCCAACATTTTGCCCATGCTAGTAGCATTTAATCAATTAACTTTGACTCCATGCCACTATTATGTGTGTATTTCCATTTTAGAAAATTTCGTCTGCCCTTATATCCATTTATAAGATAATTTTGCATAAAATTGATAAAACACAACTAAAAAATGGAAAAAATAGAAAATTGTGAAAAGCATAGGAGATACAACAAAAATGAAGAAAAAAGAGGAAAATTAAAAAGAGTTAAGTTATAGATTATCATCTTGTACTTTGGAGAAGTGACACTGAACTTTCATTTGCAACAATGAGCCGTTGAGCTTTCAAATTCCAACACTTTGGCTCTCTCTGTTCAATGCATTGATGAAAAAAGTTAATTTATTAAAATGCATTTTCAAGATTCATATGGGTGAAAGGATATTTCAAAATGACAAAAAATGGGTAAGGCAAACCAATGTTGCATCATTTTTTGCCCAATTGAGTTAGAAAAAAAGAAACATAAATAAAGAATTTATACAAATATATAAGAGAATGACAAAATGATCCCATAAATTCAGAGATTTAGGAATGTTTAACAAGCACATAACAGTCAAATGAATATCTTTTTTCTAAGTTGATTAAGTGAATATTAACGGAGGGGTGAAATATTGGAATCTGAAAGTTTGGAGGGTCTTCGAGTCTTAATCGGCTTCAATAAAAATCCGCAATACAGGGTGGTAATTTGTATTTTACCCAAAAATGAGAAATACTAAAAAAGTGGTTTAGGGGGCTAAATGTTATAATCCAAAACAAATTGTTTAAAAGGATAAATTTATTTTTGGCATCGATCCATGCTCGCTCATACTCTCATAGGAGTCGGATATTTTTCTCATCCCAGCGAAAATCTTATAGCAGCGTTATCCCTTCGGGGCCAAAGCTCCGAGCCACTGCCTGACTTCTCTTCAGTTCTCAGCATCACAATTCACTGCCGAGCGGGATTAGACGACATCAACTGATTCGGAGTCTCTCTCTCTCTCTCTCTCTCTCTCTCTCTCTGTAAAACTGCATTGTTATCAACAATGCATGCGTTGCTGGATCCCTGTTCTCTAGCTCCCTCTTCTATCATTCCCCTTCCTCCTACTGTCTTCGTCCGCCCTATAGTCAAAACAGCATCTCAATCCATGAATTTCTCCTTCATTAAGAGAAAGAATACAAAGCCCTCTTTACCATTTTCACATGCCCGCCTTGCTTCGTTCCTGCTCCCATACGCCCACAACAGACCCAACGACGTAAGATTTTCTCCTTTGCCATTCATTCGGTGATTTCAGTGCTAAGAAATCTATTTCTGTTGCTTCCATAACGTCAGTGGCTCTGATTCACAATAATAAGTTGGTCTGTTGCATTTTTGCAGAGTGTTAGTGGAGACACAGACGATATGTTCGACGGATTGTTGGACAAGTATGGGAAGGTAGTATACAGAAGAAACGATAGAAAAACACCAAGTGCAGAAGCCGACGACGATGCTGAGAGCCTGTCATGTTTGTATATTTGTGTCTCAGACCTCAAACTTGTTGTTTGATCCCGTTATAACTGACCATTAATTTGCATTATTTTAGCAATGATTCTGGGGACCTCAAACTTGCTGTACCCAGTCTTGGGTCACCCGATATGAGTTTTCTTTCCCTTTCTTCAAGTTGTCAAAAATCTTAGCAACAACCCGCCAGGGGGTGGTTCCATTTTCAAACCCCTACACATTCCACATAAGAGGAAGAGTTTGACATTTTCATGAAATGTTGAAAGAAATCTCCTATTTCAACAGCTTTCTACAATTTCATGAACATATTCTTATTAAAGAAAACTCATATATTAAGCAATTTGGTGGACTTAAGCATAGAGTTTACTTTTTTTTTTCTCTGCTATTCGTGTAGTTGCTGTGGCTCTGGCCAAGGTTGCAAGTGAGGTAAAGGCGGCAGATATCCGTGTTCTCTTTGTGAAGCCTCTGGTTTATTGGACTCGGTTTTTTATCATTGCCACAGCCTTTTCACGCCCTCAGATTGATGCTATTGGGTATGTGGTTGAAGGCTTATGTGTATATGAATGACAACTTAATCATTGGTAGGAGTTACGGATAACTTATGCATCACCTTTTTCCACTTTGATTTTAATATGTAGGTCCAAAATAAGAGATCTAGCTGAGAAACAGTATAGAAAAGTCCCATCAGGTGACACTAAACCCAATTCGTGGACTGTATTGGATTTTGGTAAGTCCTCTAATTTCTTATTTCCTGGAACTGGTGATGGAAAATTGTAAACTGAACTACAACTCATGCTATGAATTCTTGACACAGCCAAATCACCTTAGTAACATTGCATTTCTGTTGCACCAGAGAGCCAGTATGCCTCCGGCAGGTTCAATTATAACTGTAGAGCGGGCATCTCTTGGATTAAACTTCTGTTGATGATTGTCAGTTTCTAGACACAGCCATGCAGGACTGCATTGTGGAAGCTTGATTATCAAGAGAATTTGGGTGGTCATGTAGTATTAAGGCTGGATGATGATCAACCCGGTCATTAATATTTGAAACCAAGAAGGTTATCCCTCAGAGTGGGGATACCAAGACTGCATGAGTTCTCCAATTTCAGTGTACATATGAAGGATTGGAGTTCAGAAGCTTTAGAACTCCTTCCATCAAGCCTTAGTTTTGTTGATTAGTCTTATTTTTCCTACTTGAGTTGAGTGCTTAATAGCTCTTGATGTCCTTCAATGCAGAAGAAATTTGAGATGGGGATACCATCTATGCTGTTAACATTGGCAGAAGTTTGAATTCTTTTTTTTTTTCTTGGGAAAATCTTGTTGAATAAAATAAAGTTGAAACTTTGGAGAAGTTTCTCATGTTGCAACCCTGCTTTATCATGCCTTGGGACTTGGAATCTTATTGATGCCTTTTCATGCTTATTCCGGCAAGTCATCTTCACAATATTCTTCACATGTTCCTTTTAAAACTAATTTTCATTTTTTTTTATTGAAGTTGGAGCATTTTTATTTCAAACAACAATCATTCTATTACTTCTGATTTTTCAGCATTATAAAATATAAAAGCATGCTTTCCTTATCTATGGAATCTTTTGGTTTAAAAACTAGTGTAGGTGCACTTAAGGTCCATTGACCTTACCGTGGAAAGCTTGCAGTTTGATTCACAGTCAGAATCAGAATCGGAATCGGAATGGTCTATTCCCCCTGCCTGTTTGGTTCAGACCGGAATCAGAATTGGCTGAAATGAATTGTCATTCCAAAGGGAGGGTGAGAGAAGAGAATGGCATTCCCTCAAATGGGGAATGCCATTCCACCAGAAATGGGAATTGGATTCCAATTTGTCCAACCGAATTGTTGGAATTGGAATGGACGATTCTGCATCTGATTCCGATTCCAGACCCCTATTCCTGGGAACCGAACAGACCCTAAATACTCTTTCCTTGCCAGAATTTGTTGATTCAGGGTAGGCTAATTGAACACATATAAAGATTGAATGGGAATTTAGTTGGGCCTTTTGATTAATTTTCAGGACTGTCTTTCATATTCTCAGTGATAACTTGCTTCTTGACAGGTGATGTAGTTGTCCACATATTTCTTCCCCAACAGCGAGCTTTCTACAACCTGGAAGAATTCTATGGCAATGCAACACCTGTAGAGTTACCCTTTGATAACCAGTCATCATTTCGCAGCTGAAAATCCTTCTGTAACTCTCCAAGGCATCTCAAGCTTCTGATTGATGCAGGTGGTTGAATGTCATGCATCTTGAATATGGCTAGCAGTCAGCGATTGCCTGAGTTTTGCATTGAGAACAAACCTTCTGAAACTAAAACTATTAATTGGCTGATTCTATTTGCTGGAGTTGATTGATAATAAGTAGTCAAAAAGCTGTAGCCACGACTTTCGGATGTAATTAATCATGTCTGGTGAGTATTGTTCCTTTATTTTTCAATCGGCAAGGGGCAATACGAAATTAACAGAATTAGCACTTTCAGCAGTAATTTATCTATACATACAAAGACGGTGAGAAAATTCTATGATCAATCACAGCTTCGTCCTTCGTCCTCAATGTAAAAAACAGACATTGCTTTGAAGTTTGAAGCAATATTATTAATTTTTGACTGTTCTGTTAATCCTTGTGGGTTTGTAAAACGAAACAAATGTTAGATATTCGTAAATCAAGTTTGGAGGGAGTTGGGCTTCAGGCAGTGCAAAGCCCGTTCGAACAGTCTTTACAGTTTTCCATTGAGAATATCTCTGTACATTTGTGATTTATTTCATGGAGAGATATTCCCAAGGTTGCAAGAGGTGCGTTTGATTGCCTTTATTTGGAACGGTGTGAGCACCGGCTTGCATTGACTCAAGCCGAACACGGAGGGAGAGGCATAGGTGCATTTGATTGCATAGAGGTACCCTTTACTTTTACTTTGGTGTAGTTTCACTTGAGGCCTGAACTTTCAAATGTGCCACTTTAGCCAGCAATGTACGTTTAAATTAGGGTTTCTGTAAGCGGTAAAATTACAAAAATATGTCCTATGTTTTGGTTCTCTTTTTTCACTATTTATCTTCTATCTTTGAACTTGGGACTCAAACTGGCAAAGTAAGCTCAGCTGGGTCTGTTCTTTGGAGGTAGTTTTAATTTTAGATGCTTACCTTGCCGCCACTGGTCTGCCTCCAAAATCTAAAGGTAGAATAAAAATGAACAGTGAAAAAAGAGAGGCATTTTCATAATTTTACCCTTTAATGTAATGTTACTTCCACAGAGTTGGGTTTAAATGTATATTTCTGAAAGTTTGTATATTAAAGGGACATGTTTGAAAGTCATTTTCATAAATTTACTCTTTACTGTAACGTTAGTTATTTTCATAATTTCTCTTACCTGTACTGTTAGATTAATGTATAATTGTAGAAATTTAGATATTGAAGTGATATATTTGAAAGTTTAGGCCTTAAGTGAGATTACCGAGAAGTAAAAGGTACCTATATTCAATTCAATATTTTTTTTGGTGGGGTGTGGTTCACTCTGGTGATGTTTGGCATGGATGCCAATTTATGCCGTCGAATCCATAGCATTTGAAGAATCAGTGATTTATTTTTCCTGTTTAGTTGGCTGATTATGTTGATTTTTGGGAAATCAGCAAAAAATCGATCCCTGAAATCAACTTGGGCGAGGGATCGTCACATTCGGTGATTCTTCAATTTTTAGGCGATTCCGATTTTTTGTTGGGTGAGGTGGCATTCTACATAAAAGGGAAGAGAAAGGTGATATTACTCTTGAAAATCAATACCAAACAATCTCAAAAGTGATTTCTAAAAAATTGATTGACAGGGAGAAATGATACCAAATAATAAAAAAGGGGCGATTTTTGAAAAATAACTAATTTCAGTAATCGCCGAATTTTAAAAATTCAGATGTGAGGAATACTGTTTGTTTGGTAACGTTGGCATTACAACGGGAATGACACAACCGGCATTTAAGCATTAAAACCGAGCATAGAATTAATTGTAGTGTTTGCACTTTTGATCATTGAGATCTCCTGCCAACAAAATACGTTCCAACCCTCTACCAACTTGATCTAACACTGTATGTATGAGATATGTGATGTCAAATCATGTTGGTAGGTTGTGTATTTTGTTGGCAAGTGATTTAGATTTTAGATACCATAGTTTTAAAAAACCATCAGAAATGCATCCGTTTTGGCCATTAATTCTTGGGTCAAATAGTCCAATCATCTGATCCGAATTTCAATCAAAAGGTTTTGGGTCCAAAATTAGATCCGGAGCCATAACCGGTTCGATTTTCATAACCATAATAGACACCATTAGGCGGGGTGTGATTGATATAAGAACATCAGATGCCAAAATTGCAGAGCATGACCGATAAATTAGCGGGTCTATCACTATTTTCCCCTTGGGTTGGTGGAGTCATGATCTTCTACCCACAAGAATTCTGCCCATGTTTACTCACATAACATCGCAGCCACACATGCAGAACATCTCATCCTCCTATATAGTATTATGCATAGGGAGATGTTCCCAATATATAAGGATAGTGTATTGGGGTAGACATGCCCAAATGTTCTTATGGGGTGGGAGATCCGGAGTCGGGTTGGTGTTATATGACATCTGAGTTCTACTTTAATATCTCTGGGATTTTCTAGTCAGCCATATTTCGCAAGAAGCTACCCAGGGGAAGCCCACGTAAACCCTGCTTTGCATAGCATTGAATTTTATTATATCTGTTAGGCCCCATTGTTTTTTGGTTAGTTAATTACCTGGGCAAATGTAGTTACCTAGGTAAGTTTTTCCTGCGAAACACTTATCCGGATAAGTGCATTTATTCATGTTCTTTTATTTCTTATGTAAATAAGGCAATGACCATTTTAGCTATAAAATTCCATTATTAAAAAGGACATTTGTCCCATTCAAGTGTTGGCAACTTTCTCCCTAGGTGGGAAAGTTATTTACCCACCTAGGAGAAGGTATCACTTACCCGGTCCCCACATAAATCTGAAAAAAGAACATAGGATTCTTGGTCAATGGGAATCAAAATCCCATTGACCAACTTTCCCCCCTTTCAAAATCCGAAAAAAGAACGCCCCCTTAATGTCTCTTAACTTCTCAGTAATGCTTTGTCAAGATAATAAAAATTTCCTCTAAAAATATAAGACTCAATTTAGAAATAGTATAAATACATACAAAATATAAGGTTATGCATTATACATATCTCCCAATGGCACAATGAAGATGAAGAACTAAGGTTCCAAGTATAGGTTAATATTGTGGAAGAATAACGTTATTTATGATCCACTTCACATAAATAAGCTATAGATACATTAGTGATTTTATGTGAAGTGTGAATTAAGTGAATGATTAATATTGAAAAATGATGAGGCAAAAGATGAATCAAGTTTAAAGTATTGATATTCTTCATACACGATTTGTGGTGGTTGAACCTTGATTTTTATCACTTTGGTATCACTTTTTTTTTTCTTTGACGGGGTCTTATCGCATCATGTCAAAATGATGAATTTTTGTAATTCCCATCAAATAGCGTATTGATGGCCATGTGTATCCTTTGAACCTTGGTTCGGGTTTAAGTCTGCACATGAGAATTGCATCCTTGTTTGTAGGGATAGGTGGCACATTCATGATACTCAAAGATGGTAGACATTTCAGTCTTTTGTGACCCATGATTAACAAATGTGGTGGGTGTTATCCAAGGTTTTTAAAATCGAATTGGACAATGAACCGGTTAGGGTCCGGTTTTTTGTCTGAACAGTCTGATTATTCAAATCGAATGGATGGCCCATTCTGATAAAAATTTAAAAATTTAAAAAATTTAAAAAATAAAAAAGAACGGTCAAAACCGTTGAACGGTTCAATTGCCTGAATTAGCGATTTATTGACCAAATCAACGTTTTTTTGGCAAAATTCCGATTTTGGGGAAAAACAGAACTGACCACTTGACCAGTTTTCAGTTTTTCTGATCCGGTCCAGTTTTAAAAACCATGGTGTTATCCCAAAAGGCAAGCAAACTGGGGGATAAGGTGATGTGGAGGAGGACGAGAAATGGTGAAAGTACATTGAAGTCTGCCTATGGAACCTTTTGAGGAGTTTCATTGAAGTCATGTATGGGCAAGATTTGGAGTACAATTTGGAAAATCAAGGTTTCTCTTAGAATTTTTTTTTTGATACAATGGAAAAGCAATCAAACAAACCTAGGAAAAGAACATCCTAACAAATCATTAAAAACCAAATAATCCATGTTCCAGTTTGAGGGTCTAGACTCTTCAATCTCATGGTATATGTCTTTGGTTTGCTAGCCAATCAGCTATTTGATTTTAGGGGTGATCATGGGTCAGGCTGGGTTGGGCTTTGCACTTWTGATAAGGGCTATAGCTTAGGCCCGGCCCGTGGTTTTGGGCCT